GTGCCGAGTGCCTGTGAGATTTCATTTTATAGGCGCTATACAAATGCATTAAATAATATATATATATATATATATATATATATATATATACATATATATTTACAATATTCTATAAATTCTACCGAATGTTTGGCGTTAATATGTTTGTACTGCAAACATATTAACGCCAAACATTCGGTAGAATTTATAGAATATTGTAAAAATTATGGTCTATTACCAATATATATATATATATATATATATATATATGTGAAGTTGTGACGATTGTGATGATAATGATTGCGCGATTGAAATATGCCGCCTGTATATTTTGTGAAATTGTGACGATTGTGATGATAATGATTGCGCGATTGAAATATGCCGCCTGTATATTTTGTGAAATTGTGACGATTGTGATGATAATGATTGCGTCTTTGGGGTGTGCCGCCTGCGGAATTCGGATGTCTCCCGGCGAAAATCTACAATTGGCGCCAAACGTGGGGCTTCTTTTTCAAACATTGCAGGTTTTAGGTGCCAGGGTGATCCAAAGTTGCAGAATTTCGGATTGAATGAGCTGCGATTAGCGTCCAGTAGGTCAGCGTCAATCATTAGAAAAACCGAACACGATCGACAGCGAAATAAAATTTTAGGTAATAGCAACAGGTGCAGAGCGACCGAGCGAGAGAGAGAGACACAGCTAAACACGAGTCGACGTGTGACAGTCGGGAACCGCTTCATTCAACTGGTGTGAAGTCTCAGGTTCATCAATCGCGTATAGGTGCCGAGCGTGACAACAACTTTTGTCGTCGCGAATTGCTTCGACCTGACAGATTTGATGGCACCGGTTGTCTCAAAACTTTCTTAAAAAAGTTTGAGATATGTGCCAGGTACAATAATTGGAATCTCGTAGACATGGAAGCGTATTTGTCATGTTCGTTAACAGGTGAAGCTTCACAGGTTCTCTGGGATTTAACAGGTTTAGGTTACCAAGAGCTGGTATCTAAGCTAGAAGATCGTTTTGGAACAAGAGGTCATGAAGAGTCATACAGGTACGAATTACAGATTCTTCGTCGAAAACCTGGTGAGTCGTTACGAGAGTTGTCGATGGTTACTAAAAGACTCATGTCATTAGCCTATCCAGGAGAGCAGTCAAGATTAGCTACACATCTAGCTCGGGCCTT